ATTTGGTCCATTTGTTAAAAGAAGAACATTTGGGTGGGAGGGTGGAGAAGCAAGGCAGGGTGGAAATAAAGAGCAAATGCCTCCTATAGAAAAAAAGATGCAACACATTTTGATATGGCTCTCAAGTTTGCATTCACTGTGAATTCCCATCACTCTATTCATGGGAACATGTTGGCTTATTAATTGGTAGAACCACTTGAGAAAGGCTGTACTTAAAAATTAAAAAAAATCCTTACGCACAGACGCGCGCGCACACACACCACCCCAGCAACCTGGGGTCACATTCCTCCGTTTGTTAATAAAAGATTCAGGCTGGCATCCTAATAACATATTCGGAACCGCAGCTCAAAACGCACATCGTAGACATTCTTTAAGCCTCAAACACCAAAGCAAGAATCGCTAGCTACTGTCATTATGCCCTTTGTTTAAAAATGGCATAAGCATATTTAACCTACCCAAAACCATGCAATTAGTATGAGCGCAATGCCGAGGCTTCAAGAAAAGGAATTTTTAAAGAGACACTAATGTGCCAAGCATTTAAAGCCTGGTGCCAGCTCACTCGGTGCACGCTGTCTTGAGCCCATTGCAGAGCGTCGTCAGTGAATCCTGAAGTGTCACTGCGCATCTGACGACACTGTCCAATCCAGTTCCACAATACGCTCTTTATGTAACTGCCACACAGCAATGAGACCAAGAAAGGGAAGGGAACAGAATTGATCGTACAAGCACGAAAATAGGGATGAAAAGATACGCATCACTTTTTATTTTAAAAAATGTCCACTGCATTAATAGACTGCATTTGCAGAGCCCACCTAGAAAAATACCGCTAAGACACTGTACTGCCAGTTTGTATGGCATGGATTTCATTCCTAACATCAGGCAACTCAAGATGGGCAATTTGGTACTGTGGACACAGAAACTGGCAAGAACCAGTTTATACTCTCAGTAAAATCAAATAGTAAAGCTTCTCCTGGATTGATCCACTTCAGGCTGCCGCAGGTGGGAATGGAACATTTCAGCACTCAGCTATGCAAGTTATCTAGCATGTTAGGGAGAAAGGTTCAGTCTAGATTTCTCCCAGTTATTATCTTTGGAGCTTCTGCCATAATTTTATGATTTTCAAGTGTGGTCCAAGGTAGCACTCTGGCCTCCCTTGCTTCAGATATATGGCTTATAATACATTTGGTGTTTGGAACTCAGATATATAATCTAGGAGCCAAATGGCTCCTGAAACCAAGGTTACAGGCGCCAAAACAGAATGTCTAGTTTGCCATTTGGGGGCAAGATGGCTCTAATGTCTTATTTTTCAAATGATGGACTGACTGTGATTGATTATCAGTTAAACATCTGGTTAGTTCAGATGACAACCCTGAGCTAGGTTAAGAGCTTTGGTAACTTAAAGAAGAAAAGTCCCTTGATCCAGGGACAGTCCACATATATAGTGGACTATATTCCAACTTCTTCTTCTTAATGGATACTGCTCCTGCTCAGGCTGCTTAGAAAAAGTATTTTGGTTCCAGAAATTCATTCTGTTGTGCAGATAAAATATAACTGATAGAATGCTACAGGATGGGGTATTAGTGTGTGAAAACAGTCCAGAGCCAATGATTCCCCAGGAATGCACCTCCAGATGGTGGAGACGTCATGCGCCATCCTGGTGCCCGGGCATCTTCACTTGGTCGCAAGTGGTCAGAAGACAGGTGCAAAATGTGGCTCGCTAATTTCAAACACTGGATACATACAGGCATATACAGTGGTACCTCGGGTTAAGTACTTAATTCGTTCCGGAGGTCCATTCTTAACCTGAAACTGTTCTTAACCTGAAGCACCACTTTAGCTAATGGGGCCTCCTGCTGCTGCCACGCCGTTGGAGCACGATTTCTGTTCTCATCCTGAAGCAAAGTTCTTAACCTGAAGCACTATTTCTGGGTTAGCGGAGTGTGTAACCTGAAGCGTATGTAACCTGAAGTGTATGTAACCCGAGGTACCACTGTATATTTATTTGTCTGCCACCTTTCCACAATTCGAATCATGCTCCAGGCGGCTTAGAACATGAAAAAATACATAACTGCAACATAGCAGAAGTAGTCATAAGCAACAAATAAAACATCAAAATATAAACAAGCAAACTGAAGAATTTCCACATAAATCACAAAAACCCAACAGCGACAACAACCCAACCCAACTAAAAAACCCCGCAAACAACACCGCAGCTCAAGAGCCCGTTTAGCAGCCTCAGCTTTTGTAGCTGGAGTCAGTCAGGGAGAGTGTGCAACCTCACCCATGTACCCATGTATGGAGTTCCCAAGGGGTCTCTCAATTTTGCACCATTTTACCTGAAAACTGTAGCAAGACAGCAGAGAGGAAGGGAACAAAGCTTGCCAACTTAATATTTTTAAAGATAAAATATGAGGCCTGCACAGCTTGGCTCTAATGCAGCAGCAAAAGGCAAAACTGACAGATCCCCTCTACAGCTGGACCCCATACAGATTCAAGGGAATGAGGCACCATTAGCACATTCCTTATCAGCTAGGGTTGCCATATGCCTGGGAAATACCAGAGATGTCCTCTTTTGGGGGGGACCAACAGGCCCATTCAGGGGGATTTTTACATTTTAAAGGAAATGTCTGTGATTTGGGGGGGTATTTATTTATTTGGGGGTTGGCTCAGGCGGCTCTGCACACTGTAGCCGCTGCCAGCTCAAGCCCAAGTTGGGAAAAGAGGCACACTGGTACACCAGCGCCCCTCTTTCACCAGCTCGGGCTGTTCTCTTTTTTGTTCTTCAAGATATGGCAACCCTATTATCAGCATCACCTTCTTTTTCATCTGTTCCCTCCATGGAGTAGCAGCTACATTGGTGTGAGAGCCCTTGTGGAAAAAGGAGCATGGGCAGGTAATGCTCTCCTAAATTAAGCTGGCTGGCAGGAACCCTAGTTATGGGGTAATTGCTTTCCCCCAGAAGCATCAATAGCAATGGCAGGTGTTCTTTAAAGGGAAAGGGATGAATGGCTGAAATTCCTCTGGCAGAAGCAGCCATGGGAACCTCTGTTAAAGGGGTAGCAGTGGAAAGATGTAGTTTTTCCCCCAAAGAACTAGCTCTTCTAAGGTACTGTACAGTAGTCAGTACATTTTATAAGATCACATATTGCATAACTAGCTTAGAAGAATGCTAGTATTTGTATAGCATTAGCAAAAACACCATTCCTTTTTATTCTCTGGGAGCACCCTAAAACACATGCATTAACACTATGGGACTCATTCTTCATATCCACAACTGTGCACTGGTGAAAAGTCACTTATTCTACCACAGGAATACCACGCCACCAACTCAAAGTAAACAGTCATGCCCATCATGGATTCCTCACAGCTCAAACCAAACAGAGCTGCCCGAACATACCTCATATTTTTACAGCCAAGGAGTAAAAACTGAGGACTCCAGCACTGAGAGTCCACAGTCCCTTCTCAAACCTTCCCTTTGGAAAGAAGCACATGACACGTCACACAAGCCAATTACCTGTGCAGGTAAGAGAAAAATTGCGTACGCAGGCATACAGGGTTTCCCTTATTATTACCATTACAATTTATTGCCTGCCCTTCACACTAAGATCCCAGGGCGGGAAGCAACAATTAAAACTCATTATTAAATCCAGTTTAAAACAAGTTTAAAATTACAAAAATAAGTGAGTAAACTGAAGGGCAAAATATATGCTAGCTCACTAAAATCTTTGGAGCCATGTCCAGTTAACTATATACAGACACAGACAGAAACAAATAAAGTCCCATTTAAATTAACGGACGGCACAATACCAAGAATGACTTGTAGCCCTGCCTTTTTTCCTTTTGCTAACTGCACCAAATTGCCTGTTTTAGGTTTTTATTGCCTTTTAACTGGCTTCAGTGCAAAAGAGCTACCTTTGTAAGAAAAGAGATTAACAAATGCAACAGCAAAATAATTGCAATCATGTCTATTCAGAAGTAAATCCTGCTGAATTCAACAGGGCTTGCTCCCAGGTGCGGGAGGCCAAGATCCGCAGGCTGCACGCTCCTTCTGTGTTGCAAATTCATCGTGTCATAAGGAGCCTTTTGGGACCTGGGCTGGCAATTGCTCCAGTTTCCTAATCCCCTAAGCAAAAAAAAGGGGCTGAGATGTGAAGCTCCTCCGAGGTCCCTGGTGATGGAACAAGGAAGTCTTTGCAATTCGAGCAGCAGGGTCAAGTCTCCTCTCTCGAATTTAAGGGAACCTTTTGGATTAAGGGAAGCCTTCAAAAGGCACAGAATCAAATCCCAAAGAGTAAGGGAAAAGGGAAAGAATATGAGTGTGGAGAAAGGAGAACTCACCCCCAAATCCCTGCCTCCTGGAAAGAGAAAATCTCTCCATCATCCCAAACCCTGGAAGCAGCAGGGACTCCAACTCCATATTCCCCAAGCACGACAAAATCCTAAATATAGGGGCCCTCCTACACTCAAGCAGGGGGTGGGGTGGGGAATGGGGACAAGAAGCCTCCGCCCCACACACAAAAAAACCAACAACCCCGAAATGCAAAGGCAGCCCAAATCCTGCAGGGCCCCCTCTTTAAGCCCACACCCCCCAAAGCTAAAGAGAAGGAGGTCCAGACCCCCACCAAAAAAAGGATGGAGACACCTCGAGTCCACGCCTCGACCCCACAGACACCCCAAAATAGGTGCAGGGGGGAGGGATTCCTATTCCCAAAATGAGGCTGAAACCCGAACGACCCCGCCTCAAATATCATCCCCCCCCCCAATAAAAGGGAAGGATAATTCCCCTACAAGCCTTCAAGGGGGGGAAACCCCTTATATAGGGGGCAGGTCCTATTATAGCGCTGAAAAGCGGGAATTGGGGGTGTGGGGCTCCCAAGGGCGCCCTCGGGGGTTGGTTTGGTGAGGGGGTGCAGGAAGCCCCCCGTTGTGGTTCCCGAGGCCCGCGGCGGGTTCCACGCGAGCCCCCGGCGCGGGCCCTCCCGCGAGCGGCCTCGCCTCACCTGGCGAGGGGCCGGCTCGGGGGCCTCCGACGCTCCTTCTGCTTCTGCTGGCGGCGGCGGCGCTTCTCCTCCTCCTCTTTCCTCCTCCTCCTCCGGCGCTACCTTCGCCGACGTCTCCTCCGTCCCGCTTCCCTCGCTCGGCCCCCGACCCGCGCTGGGAGGAGCCGCGGCCTCCCGCCAATCCAAGGCCCGGGGCGGAGCAGCGGCGCCGAGTGGGGCGCCGCCCGCCGGGGGAGGCTGCGGCGGCGGCGGCAGGCAGGCAGGGCTGGGCCGACCAGGCGCCCGCTCCGACCGGCGGGCCTCGCCGGCTCCCCGCCGCCTCAGCAGGGGCAGGGAGGGACAGGCGGGCAGGCCTCCGAGGCCGCCGCGGGGCTGAGTGGATTTGGGGCCCAGGGCCAAGCTCAGCCCCCGGGACACCCACACAAGCCCCGGCGCGGGCAAGGCCCTGGGGCCCAGCGCCACGCTTATGGGGGTTATTATTAGTATTGGTTCATTTCCTATGCCGCCCTTCCTTCGAGGATCACAGGGCGGTGGAAGAACACAAAAATACTGTATACAAAAGGGAAGAGGGCAGCCGCTTTAGTAGTGCCAGGTTGCGGGTCCGGGTTTATTATTATTATTATTATTTCTATATAGTCATACTTCGGGTTACAGGCGCATCAGGTTGTGTTTTTTTTTTGGGTTACGGACCACCGAAACCCGGAAGTACCGGAACGGGTTACTTCTGAGTTTCAGCAGTAGCTCATGCACAGAAGCGCTAAATAATAATAATAATAATAATAATAATAAATTTTATTTATATCCCGCCCTCCCCAGCCAAAGCCGGGCTCAGGGCAGCTAACAACAATAAAACAGTACAAAAGTACAGCACAAACGACACTCTAAAATCATTCATTATAATGCTCTTAAATTGCTCTTTGTGCATGCGCAGAGGTGCCAAATCGCAACCCGCGCATGTGCAGCTACGGGTTGCGAACATGCATCCCGCATGGATCACGTTCGCAACCCAAGCGTCCACTGTACCTCCCTCCGAGGATCACAGCGCGTTTCGTAGTATAAAAGCACAGAAGCTTCAGGTTGGGTTTTTTTCAGGTTAAAGGTAAAGGGACTCCTGACCATTAGGTCCAGTCGCGGACGACTCTGGGGTTGTGGCACTCATCTTGCTTTACTGGCCGAGGGAGCTGGCATTTGTCCACAGACAGTTTTTCCGGGTCACGTGGCCACCATGACTAAGCCGCTTCTGGCGAACCAGAGCAGCGCACGGAACCGCCGTTTACCTTCCCGCCAGAGCAGTGCCTATTTATCTACTTGCACTTTGACGTGCTTTTGAACTGCTAGGTTGGCAGCAGCTGGGACCGAGCAACGGGAGCTCACCCTGTCATGGGGATTCGAACCGCCAACCTTCTGATCGGCAAGTCCTAGGCTCTGTGGTTTAACCCACAGCGCCACCCATGCCCTTGGTATTAACTCTTAAACCCAGTTTAATATAAGGTTACCAGACATCCCCATTTCCGGTGGACAGTCCCCAGATTTACAAATCAATCCCCTGATAAAATACAAATTTTTCTCTCTCCCCCGCCCCACCCCACCCCCCGGAAAGTGCTAACCTTAATGTGAGCCTGGTGCCAGTTTTTTAAAGTTTATTTGGTTTGGTGGGCTTTTTGTTTTTAACATGTGGTGCTAATCTTACAGGCAGCCTGATACCAGCCACCCCCACAATGCAAAGCTTTGACAATCTTCTGCTAAAGGATGGTCTGCATATTGTATAACTTTCCCCGAGACACTTAGCCTCTCGGCACTACAGCCTTTCCCAGGCATGAAGAAAACAAGAGATAAAATTACAGCCCTATCTTATCACGGTCCAAGGAAGAAGTCTGATTCTGTCAGAGTAATTAGGGGATCAGCCAAACCTCCGCAGCTCTGGTGTGTGGGCAGTGGATTATTTAATTATTGCATTTATCAGGGCTTTTCATGGGCGTATACCACCTTATCACCGTGCTGTTTGCTTTAACCGTGAAAACAATTGCCTGGAGACACTGTGCACAGCTCCCCATTTTTGCTCAAGATAGGATAAGAGCTGCGTGTCAGTGGAGACATTTTCCTCGAGGGGTGGAAAGGTGCTTAGATGCCTTTGCACATGGGTAGGCCCAGGGGCCGGATCCGGCCCAATCGCCGTCCAAATCCGGCCCATGGGCGGTCCGGGAATCCGCGTGTTTTTACATGAGTAGAATTTTATTTATGAGTAGAATTTATTTAAAATGCATCTCTGGGTTATTTGTGGGATATAGGAATTTGTTCATTTTTCTTTCTTCAAAATATAGTCCGGCCCACCACATGGTCTTGTAGCCTTTCTAGGCCTTTTTTCACGGGTAGGAAAAAGGTTGCACCTGGGGAGAGGGAAGAAGGAGTCAAACGACACCAAAGGGATAAATCAGAGAAAAAGCTTTATTCTGCCATCCGGGGTGGCAGAAGGCACCTGCGTGATAGATTCACAAAGCAAGTACAAGTTCACAGCCATTTGCACAGAGCAAATATTCCCCTCCAGTTCCCTCCCCTCAGTTTCCTGAGCATGAACAGAAAGCTCCTGTCTTGGGACTATTCATTAGCCTTTTTGAAGCTCTCTCGTACAGTGGTGCCCCGCAAGACGAATGCCTCGCAAGATGGAAAACCCGCTAGACGAAAGGGTTTTCCGTTTTTGCGTTGCTTCGCTAGACGAATTTCCCTATGGGCTTGCTTTGCAAGACGAAAACGTCTTGCGCTTTTTTAAAAAAGCCGCTTGCAGAGGCGAGGTTGCGACGGACCGTGCTTCGCGAGACAAAAAACATCGCAAGACGAAAAGACTCGCGGAACAAATTCTTTTCGTCTTGCGAGGCACCACTGTACTGATAAAAGTAACGGTTTGCCTATGCAACAGCATCTTGTAAGGAAAGCAGAGGAAAACTTTAGCTGTGGATTTTTAAAAGAGAAGGAATTTTGGACAGTTTTGAGGCCTGGTTGGGGGGGGTGACTTCGGGCCTAGGTGGGGTCACCTATCCTCACCTCCTTCAGTCTGAGGGACGGTGGACTGGCCCACGACTGAAAAAGTTTGCTGACCCCAGCTTAGATGCCTTTTCAGCTGCTCCTAAGTCGTGTGGTCCCATTTGAACAATGGTTAAAGGAAACTGAGTGGGACCCAAAATATGTCTCATCCCTCACTCTGTCGCCAACAGCGGCCACCCAGAAAAGCACATGCCCTCCAACATTTCTCTGACGAAAATAGGGACGTCCCATTCCATAATGATAATTTTATTATTTATACCCCACACATCTTGCTGAGTTGCCCCAGCCACTCTGCGCAGCTTCCAACATATGTAAAAACACAATAAAACATTAATAAAACTTCCCTCTACAGGATTGCCTTCAGGCGGCTGGGGGGGGGCAGATAACTACATACCCTCCAACATTTTTCCAATGAAACATTTTCCCAATGAAAATAGGGACATCCTAAGGAAAAGACCCTGATGTTGGGAAAGATGGAGGGCACAAGGAGAAGGGGACGACAGAGGACAAGATGGTTGGACAGTGTTCTCGAAGCTACCAGCATGAGTTTGACCAAACTGCGGGAGGCAGTAGAAGACAGGAATGCCTGGCATGCTCTGGTCCAGGGGGTCACGAAGAGTCAGACACGACTAAATGACTAAACAACAACAAGGAAAAGTGGGACATTTCAGGATCAAATCAGAAACCGGGACAGCTTCTCTAAATCAGGGACGTCCCTGGGAAATAGGGACACTTAGAGGGTCTGAAAGGAGGACATTAAGACCGCAGTCTTCCCCAGTAGCTGGTATCGTGGTATACTGCTGCTGAACATGGAAGTTCTATTATCATGGCTAATACACAGCCCTTCTTCTCCTTTACATCTGCAGGCGAGGCAGTGGATGTGCCAGACACTTTGAGCATATTACACCAATTCTGACTTGACTGCACTGGCTGCCAGTTAGTTTTCCAGCCCAATTCAAAGTGCTGGTTTTGACTTACAAAGCCTTAAACAGCTCAGGGCTACAATACTTCAAGGCTTTATCCACCAGAGGTCCACAGGGAAGTTTGTGGCATTCTCCTGCTTGCGGGATGCTCTCTTCAGGGAGACTCGCCTGGCCCCTTCGTTACAGATCTTTAGGCGCCAGGCAAAGCGTTCCTCTTCTCCCAGGCCTTTGGCTAATTAAACAATCTATGGCTTTTTTAACTCAGTATGTGTGTGACTGTATTTATTTGTTACTATGTTATGCGCTTCTGTGTTGCTATATTGTAAACTGCCCTGTGATCCTTGGATGAAGGGTGGTATAAAAATGTATATTATTCTTATTTTAAAAATTGATATGCCTCCCTTCATCCAAAGATCTCAGGATGGTTCACAAGATAAAAATGCATGATAGAAGTAATAACAAAAAAGGTTTTCATTTTTTAAAAATGAAAATAACCCTTCCCCTAACAAATCTAACAGGCCACTGAATAGTAATCAGCCCAAGGCCTGGTTGAAAAGAAATGTTTTTACCTGGCTCCTAAAGGTGTATGAGTGGGGACGCGGGTGGCGCTGTGGGTTAAACCACAGAGCCTAGGACTTGGTCAGCAGTTTGAATCCCCGTGACGGGGTGAGCTCCCATTGCTCACTCCCTGCTCCTGCCAACCTAGCAGTTCAAAAGCACGTCAAAGTGCAAGTAGATAAATAGGTACCACTCCGGCGGGAAGGTAAACGGCATTTCCGTGCGCTGCTCTGGTTTGCCAGAAGTGGCTTAGTCATGCTGGCCACATGACCCAGAAGCTGTACACCGGCTCCCTCGGCCAATAAAGCAAGATGATCACCACAACCCAGAGTCGGTCACGACTGGACCTAATGGTCAGGGGTCCCTTTACCTTTAAAGGTGTATAATGAAGGTACCAGGCAAGCCTCCCTGGGGAGATCATTCCACAGACAGGGAGCCACTGCAGAAAAGGCCCTTTCTCGTGTTGCCACCCTCCGGACCTCTCATGAAGGAAGCACATGAAGAAGAGTCTCCTTACCTCTCTCGCCCTGACCTAGCCACTGTGATCCACGCGACAGTCACCTCCAGACTGGATTATTGTAACTCGCTCTACGTGGGGCTGCCCTTGAGACTGACCCAGAAACTCCAGCGGGTGCAGAATGCCACGGCGAGACTCATTATGGGGTCTTCGCTGCGAGATCACATTCACCCGG